ATTGCGCGACGCCAAATTCTGGTAATCGAAATAGTATTGGTTTTAGGAATACCAGAATCCGTATTGTACTGCTCAGAACTGAATTGGCTCCAACCCGAACTGCGGACACCAATAAAATACACGAGGAATTGATAGCAGCAAATGCTTATCTTTATTGATGGAATTGGATCATGTTTTAAGGAATGTAATAGTCCATATCATTGGTTGAACGAGCATCCTCTAATCACGTAACCGTTTGCATCGACGTATCATATGTGCTAACTCGGATGTCATGTTCGCCCGATGTACCATTGGTCGAGCTTCCTGAACGGTGATTGGATGACATCAAACTGTACCTAGTCGTGTATGGATTGCGGTCACGGAAGTCCAAATCACCACATTTACCCATCCAACTTACAGAGGCAAGTGGCATCCACCGGTTAGCATGTAAGCTGCCAAACAACAGTCTGAACAAATAACCTTGTTTTAGGAGCTCATTCAGTGTAGTCCGGTGAATTTCAAGGAAAACCTATCGGGGAAGTCAGTTTACATGCTAACTGGTGGATGCTACATGCCTCTCTAAGTTGGGTGGGTAAATTCGAATGTGAAAAGATAAGTTCTATCGATGTGGCCTCGTAGCTCAGCTGACAGAGCGTGCGCGTACAATGCGTAGGTGGCGTCCATACGTGGGTTCGAATCCCACCGAGGCTACTGAACTTTTCACAATGAACATACAAACTTCATATCTGCCAAACAACAATTTGAACTCACAAATTATCCGATTTTCTTTTGAACGAAGTGTTTAAAAAATATTAGAACTCCGGCGAAAACTTTGATCAAAATAGCAATTATTCGGCATGTGATTTTTGATACTAATATCCGTTTATTTCGAAATGAACGCAATTACTATTACATTTGGTTTATTGATTAATGAAGAATGCAAGGCAAAGTTTTTCATATAAACTGAATAGCAGTGTGATTGGTCTTTATAAAATACCATGAAACCTCTGGTGCGTATGTCCATTAAAATGCATTTTGCAGAATTTCAAGTTAATAGAAGCGAGTTTGTCATTGCTGTTTTTTTTAAAAAGTATGTTTATTTTAATTCGTATGTTACATGTTTACAAGATTGGGATGACAAAAATCTTTTGCTGTCAGATTAAATGAAAAAATCGTATTGTAAAGTCAATTTTTTAACCATGAATTCTATGGACTTGGAGGTCATAATCCAAATCATGCTCAAAATAACCTGCGGTCATAAAACGGTTCGAAAGAAAAATCATTTGGTCTAATAATAAGAAAGGTGTGTTTTGAGGCAAGCTGCCGGTGAATAAAATGAAAAATCGGAGATTCATTGCCTCAATACACAGAACAGGAGCAACGTATCAAATTTTATTGCGTACACTCATAACCAAGCGACTGAAAGTTGGAAGCAGAAAGTGTCCAAATATGTGCTACAAATTTAGGTTATTCGTTTGCAGAAAGCTTGCAGTAAACATGATCAGTGAGATTGCTCTACGATTGTGTCAAACGCAAATGGAAATGGGTTACCAGATAAAATAAATTTCGAAAATGGTAAAACAGACAACACAATTTCATACCCTAAATTTAGACTCCTCTTTTTCATCACTTTCATACTAAATGGGATCGTGAAATCAGTCGGGAAGAAGAAAAATTCAACGAAAAAGTTTACTTTCATGGTTGGTAATAAGCTGCTTCTTATTGACATGAAATCTGCTAATCAATCAATGTATCGGCGTATTGCTGGCATGTATATGTTTAAAACGCTGAGACGATAATGAGTTCCGTTGATCAGCTTATTAGAAGTATTCATCGCAACACGTTCTATCCACAAACTTTCCAACAGTATCGTACTGTCTACAATACAAATTTAACCGTGACAGATCTATTGTCTGTTTAAATTATTGACAAAAGAGGTCAACATACAATCTATCGAGAGATGATAAATTAACTAAAATATTTATATCAATCTTTATTTCTGAACAAGCTTCTTGTTCACACTACAATTTGAAGTGTGCGTGATTTTCATTCTCCTCCTGCTCTTGGAATCTTGATTTCAGACGGCTCACTATCACGAGCGTTGATATTAAACGTCGTCGGACATGGTTAACTTAGGTGCAATGTCAGGAATTGTTATTATAAAGAGTGGTCTTTCACAATCAATAAAGAAGTTTCATACATCCAGTTGCTTTAACAAATTTCATCACGACGAGGAAAAACCACATGTGTGACCTTTGCCCCTGTCCTGTGATTGGCTCAATTGATGTGTTTATCTGTCCGATAACCTATCATGTCTTTGTTGTTGTTGAACCTTGATTGTCATTGTACGTATGCAGCTTATTGAGAGTACCAGAAATAACCGAATTCACGTTAACCTGCTGAAATGTGGTTCTTCCTCGCCGTGATGAAATAAAGAAGTTGAAGGAGGGGTTAGTAGAGTGTATGACTAACGGCCTGAAGATATTGAAAAGATAAAAGAAACATAAAAATGCGTTCTGGGGCACATAAAAACGAGGTTTTTCGGAAAAGGTCATATGCAAATGAATAAGAGTTAGGAACACTCTATTCGGAAAAAAAAACTGTCAATTCCTAAGGAATTCAGGCTTCCGTCGATTGAAAAAAGTGATATGCCTCGCAAAATTTGAAGCATTTAGTGGAGTTTTACTGTTGACTTAGGTATTTCGTAACGAATAATTTTTAATCGTTTCCATTATCCCGGTAACAGTCATTTATACAGAGCTCAAGTTAAATGACAACGTCACATTATTGTCGACTACTATGAACCTCGGGTTTCGAAGGTAAGTTTATTCTCTCGTCATTCTGCTACTAAATCTCACCAATTCCCGAGGGGGTGGACGCGTACAGAGACCAATGATTTCGTTCCTGGGTTAATTGTTGCGTAATAAATGCAGTGGGTTTAAATAGACGTTTTGGTCTGCACGATTTGGATGTGGTAGTCACTTTTGTCCGACTCGACATATGTAAACGGTTCCATAATTCTGAGCGCTTGGTACCGCTACCAGACCACATGCACCTATCCCGTTATGAATTCGGCACAAAATGAACGATACCGCTACTTGTTTGAAATGGATCGGAATTCTACTTGCCACAAACACATGTTCATCTGTGTTCAAATGATGTTCTCCTAGTGCGCCCACTAATAGATTCTTTGCCCTTGAAATTTCCACGATCTGGTATAGATATCAGCTCACAGATCTGTGTGATTTTACAAAGACTATTGTAAAAATCAGTGTGACGTTTGACTGGATTACAATGCATAGCATAGATCGAATCCCTCACTTTTGCTGTTTATGCCCTGTTTTAGATAAAACAAATAAAAAACTATTGTCAACATGAAGAAAATGCAGTTTTGTATATCAATCTCTCTTTCTTGTAGAATTCCATCTTTGTGCTTTTGTTTGAAAACGGGGGGGGGATAGTATTCTGATCAAATGTAACGAGCTATTTCCAGGGTATTACTTGCAATATGTATACTACTTTCTTTCAATCAGCGTATTATCACCCATCAGTTATCAATCGAAAAACTACAAATGTCACTGACTAGCTGAACTTTATCC